CACACGCCCAGGGCCCCACCCCCACAGCTCCGCCCACGGCCCGACCTGCCCACTAACGCCCCTCCCCACCCGCGGGGAGCCTTCCGAAGCCCCTCCAGGACCCCGTTTCCCCGTCTGGAAAAGGGGAGCAAACTTCAGCCTTTGATACAGCGGTTCTCAACCTGTGGGTCGAGACCCCTTTGGGGGTCGAACGAACTTTTCACAGGGGTCGCCTAAGACCATCAGAAAGCACATATATAATTACATATTGTTTTTGTGATTAATCACTATGCTTTAATTTGTAACAATGAAATTGGGGGTCACCACAACATGAGGAACTGTATTAAAGGGTCGCAGCATTAGGAAGGTTGAGAACCACTGCTTTAGTAAGTTAGAAAGAAGAGCACAATGGAGATGCCTAATACCATTCACCTTGGAGGTTCTGCCACCAGAGGATCCTGGAGGGGTGGGCACCGCGAAGGAACCAGGCTGGAGGTCTTTTCCACCTGTCAGTGTGGGAGTATTACACAGCCAGGAACAGAACATGAGGGGCTGCAATGCCCACCGGCAGGTCCCACACCATTACAGGGCCAGCCAACTGTGACACGTTATGGGTAAAACCAAGTGAATTCACCTGAGCATCTGTAGCCTCTTTGCAAAATCAAGGTAATAGCAGACACTCCATAGAATTGAGGATGCAGACTATAAAGGGCTTAGGCAGTGGTTCTCAACCTTCTGGCCCTTTAAATACAGTTCCTCATGTTGTGACCCAACCATAACATTATTTTCGTTGCTACTTCATAACTGTAATGTTGCTACTGTTATGAATCGTCATGTAAATATCTGATATGCAGGATGGTCTTAGGCAACCCCTGTGAAAGGGTCATTCGACCGCCAAAGGGGTCGCAAACCACAGGTTGAGAACCGCTGGCTTAGAGACTGGCTCAAAGCCCACCAAAGGGTTTGTAAAATAGGTCTGTGTGGACAACCTTCAACACCGTCCTCCCCTCTGCCATTCTAAACCCCCTTTGTGCAATTAATTATATTTAAAATGTAAAACAAGACATCACTCCGGGCTCATCAGTGAGTCTTGTCCCCTGAATAAAGCCCAACTGAACTTCTCTCCACCGGGGTCCTCATCCCAGCCAAACCCGATTCTGTGCCCTGCTCCCTCCTGCTCCAGGGCCTTGGCCCACACTGCCCTCTGCTTGTTCTGTTCATGTTTTCCTCCTCAGTTAACTACCGCTCTCATCTCAAGCACTCTTTCAGGAAGCCCTCCCTGATTTTGAGTCCCCTCCAACAGATTATGAAAGTCTCCTGAGAGGCAGGAACTTGTATCCCCAGAACCTGAAAGATCCTGACACAGAATTGGCCAGTTGTGATTATTTGTCGCATGTTTACAAATGCCCAGGAACATAGCAGAGTAGCTTCTCTGGGGCTGGGGAAAGTAGGGGAGTTCCCATTCTTGCTCCATTGGATCCGTTTTTAAGTTAGGACAGAAACGGTGGTGGTGAAGCCTACCTTCCTTGAGGCTGTGAGGCCAAATGAAATGAAACTAAGTAGGGACAGGGAGAAGGGAAGCAGAGAATGGCTGCCCTGGCTGGTTTGGCTCAATGGCTAGAGCATTGACCTGTGGACTGAAGGGTCCTGGGTTCGATTCTGGTCAAGGACACATGCCCAGGTTGCCGGCTCGATTCCCAGTAGAGGGCGTGCAGAGGCAGCCGATCAATGATTCTCTCTCATCATTGATGTTTCATTTCTCCTTCTCTCTAACCAATAAAAATATACTTTAGAAAGAGTATGGGTATTTTCCCAGCAATCTTGACCTTTCCAAAACCCCAGATTTGCTCCCAGTACACAATCCCAGAACCTGGTCCAAACACCATCAAAACATTTATTAAAACCAAAGCAGAAGAGAACAGAGCTGTTAGGAAGGCAAATCAAAGTGCACATTGGAGGATGGAGCAGAGCAAGAAGTGGAGTGGAGGGAAGCACTTCAAATGCCACAGGAGGGGCCCGTGAGCTGGGCTAGGGAAGTAGGCCCTTTACCCACCCCTCCTGCCCACCCTGTCGGTGAAGGCCCCTCACTCACCTCTCCCATCTCCCATCCGTCCTGGGGGGCCGCTGGAGCCCTGCAGTAACCCCTTGGGGAGGGACCACCCCCTTGACCCACCCATGGCTGTCAGTCAGTCAGTTTTCCTCCCTCCCTCACTCTCCCAATAAATAAAACCGCTGAGGCCTCAACTCCTTCAGAGTAGGGCAAAGAACAGCTCAGGGACCCCTGCCCTCCCTCAGGGGTATAAGGAGTTGGGACATCAGCCCCACAACCCTCCTACCCTTGGCTGGTGCCCCAGGCTTGCCAAAGAGACCTTGATAAATAAATAACGCTCCATTAAAGCTTCAGTCAGAAAAACCTTTAAGACGACAGAAGTGCTCTTGCTGTCCTGCAAACAAACAGGCCAAGGCCTCACTACCTGGCCTGGTCAGCACGCAGGATTCTGGGGGCAGGTGGCCACCCTGGGCCTTGTGGGGCCCCTGGAGCAAGGAGACCAAAAGTGCAGTTAGAGCCCCCACCATACACACACATGGACTCATGCACACACGTGGACACACTGGGGCGTGTTTTCAATGCACGCTCAGATGTGTTCACCTTCATTCCCCGGTACATGCACACACACATGCCCATACACCACTCACCCCGTGTACACACGTTGGGTATTGGGTGCATGCACATACACACCACAAACAGAATCCTTCCCTTTCTGGCTTGCTCAGCCTCTTGGCAACAGCCAGACTCCAGAGCTATAAGCTTCTGGAGATAGAGGAAAGGGGTATAAATTAAACATTTCCAATCAGGCTGGGAGCATGGCCAGGAGCAGGGGGCTCCAGGACTGCAGACACAGGGCGGGCATCTCAGGAGGCCCTGGTCCCCATAAGCCCTGTCAGAAATCCAGGGGGGTGAGGTCCCCAAAGTCACAGTCGAAGAGGTCTTTGATGCCCTCGCCCTCCTCAAGGCCAAAGTGGTAGTCGAGGGCCCCATGCGGAGGAGACAGGCTGATGAACTCCTCAGGGAGGAGGCTGGAGAAGTCCTCCCGCACATGCTCCAGGAGTGAGTCGGCTGCCACCAGTGGAGACAGGTGGTCTTCATCCATGGCAGCCCGCAGGCCACCCATCCGGGAAAGCAGAGGTTCTGGGGAGATGGGGGAGCATCACAGGCCGGAGATGCCCCAGCAGGGAGGGCAGAGGGGGCTGTTAGGCCT